CAGACCAGCGGTTGGGGACCCCTGGTGTATTCAATGAAATATAGGTTGAACATGATTTGCAAATCATTGCATTGATCCATCCATTTTCTGATCCGCTTATCCTCACAAGGTTTGCGGGGTGTGCTGGAGCCTATCCCTTCAGGCATTAGGCAGGGTACATCCTGAATCAGTTGCCAGCCAATCACAGGGCACACATAGACGAACAAACTCTCTCGCACACACTCACGCCTAGCGACAATTTAGAGTGTTCCATTAACCTGCCATGCATGATTTTGGAATGTGGGAGGAAACCGGAGTACCCGGACAAAACCTGCACAGGCACATGGAGAACATGCAAACTCCACACAGGAAAGCCGGAGCCAGAATCGAACCCTGCACCTGTGCACTGTGAGGCGGACATGCTCAAATCATCACATTCTGTTTTTATTTATGTTTCACACAACATCCCAGCATCTTTGGAATTGGGTTAGTACATCTTGTTAGGAAGTGCGTGGTTCTATGCCGCCCCCCCAGTAGCACACATGGAAAATTGTGGCCCTCTCCATCTTTTAAGATTTTTATTTTCTACATGTAAGCATGAAAACCAGCCCCTCCACAACCAACCTCCATTAATCCTCATCCCCTTATTTACCACAGGGCGATCTACTTTGCTGCTTATTCAACAGCCAAGGAGAAGCTGAATGGCGTGCTGGAGGCAGACTCCACCCAGGTGCACATGGTGTCTGCTGGAATGGCCGGTAACCAAGAGCACCCCCCTTCACCCCACTGTCTGCTTGTCTGTCTGGATAGCTTGCTTTCTGTCAGTCAGTCTGCCTGAGAATTGTCTCTCCATGATGGGTTTCTAGACAGAAAACCTAAAGAATTACTCCCTTAATATTCACCAGATGAATTATTTTTCCTCATGTTGAATTACTCACCCCCTACCCCTCCACCCCTCAATCATCTACATGTGAGTTCATCATCAATGTACACCTTCATTAATATTTCAAGAAATGCTAAAACTAGTAATAACTATATATTGGTTTGTACTTCCACTAATATATAAAAGGGGGTGTACCAGAAAGCACAATTTAAGACTCTCAGGATCATTCAAAAGTTATTGAGAATTTAAAAAAAGGATTATGAAACTTGCTGTAATCATTTCATAGCTAAAGGAAACAAGTTTGAAAAAGGCACGTTTAAAAAAAAAAAAAAGGCGAGTGGAACCTTAAAAATCAAACTGTTATTTTTATACAACAGTTCTACATCACTATTTATTAGTTAGCAGTAGTGAGCAACAATAAATGTTGGTGTATTTATTCAGTATTTTGGCTCTGCGAACACAGTTCTGCAAACAGTAGCTGCGAAGTTTGCCTTCAGTGTGAAAATTAAAGCCACGTTGACTGAGAGAGTTAGATCAAACCAGTTGCTGAGCCCACTTCACAACAGTCGCATTGCAGTATTCCCTCATTTCGTGAGCTCTCCATGACAAGTAAAAGTTGTCTGGAGAAGCAAATTGAAGTCAATTTATGTGATGACCGTACACTCAGCCGAGCGTTTTCTCCTGTCTCCACCTACACCTCATGTGTCAATGTCTCATTTCTTCACATGAGCACACCTGCTGGTTTGCAGCAACAACTCCGATGTTGGATGCAGGAAAAAAAATTAAACACTTTTGGAATAAGGATTCAATGAAAATGCACTGCACATTAATTCAATCAAACTTGTACCTAAACAAAGCATGAAAAGGTTAAATGTATATTATACTTGAAAGTTAAATACAAGGAACTGCACTTCCTATGTATGATTTACTGGATTAAAAAAAAAAAAAAAGTTGAAGCCACTGGAACACGATGCACAACTTGTGGTTCTTTGCGTACCACTTGAGGGAGCCTGTGGAATACTCGTGGCACTGGTATCATGATTTGAACTGCTTTAGATGTTCACTGAAATGATGACATACTGGATTTTCTGTCTTGAGTGACATCTTTGTCACTTTCAAAAGCATATTGTCCCTGAAAACTTCAATGTTTGAAATTTGAGGTTCCACTGTGCCATCGCAAGTTCTTTTCCCTGGAATCTGTCGACGCTTCTCTCACTCAGATGCTGCAACAGTAAATCAGCGCATGATGGCTTCGCTGGCCGACATGACTGACTCTCATTGTGCCAGTGCAAACAAACATCTTCACTAATATGCAGTCTGTGTTTGGTTACGTTAGGTGAAACGCCACAAGGTCCTTAAAGTTTAGGTTGTGCTTTTTAAAAATTATTGGGGAAAAAAGTCAGAATATCATTTCATACTTTTTTTAAACCATCATCCTTCCCTTTTTATTCCATTATTATTATTACCATTTCTTTGAGGCCTCTTAAGTGGGCTCTAAATGGTTTTAACATCCCTTACTTATACAATGTGGTCTGGGCCCCCTTCTTTGCTCTGTCTGTATAGAGGAAAGAGCACGGCCCCCAGTGGTCAACAGGGGCCCCTGGCACTCGGGCGGACACGTCAGGTAGCTCCTCATTTCATTACACTGGTATGATGGTAATTTCAATTAGTGTTAGTAAGCTGTGGCTTTTAATTGTAATGATTATAGCATTGCTTCAGGCAATGTTTTAGCTTCTGGTTTGTATTTTCCTCTGTTGCTTTCCCTTAGCATTCTCTCACCTCCGCAGTAAAAGTTAAGTCAAGACACCTGTGTGTGTGTGTGCGTGTGTGTGTGTGTGTGTGTGTGTGTGTGTGTGTGTGTGTGTGTGTGTGTGTGTGTGTGTGTGTGTGCGCGCGCGCGCGTGCGCGTGCGTGCGTGCATGCGTGTGTGTGAGTTCTTGTTAAGCGCAAAAGAAATGCTAACCTTGTCACTGATACAGAACTTCAAATATTCGATGGCAGCATTTCATCATTTATGCTGATATTATTGAGGGGCAATTGGTGTTCTTGTCAAGATGCAGTCATGCCATTTCATATTTCACAACACAGCTGTTGAGACAGTTCTATTTTGAATACACAAATGCACGTTCGAACGGGCCAAGCATCATGTGAGATTCATCTGCTGAATACTTCCTCTTTTCGTATTCCTCACAATATTACGGCATGGCTGAGACCGTGTTTCAAGGCCATATAGTCACCGACACACAACTTGGCCTAAAATCATAAGCTACAACGGATGTACAGTACAAACATCTCTTTTACTTTAAACTCATTTTGGAGGCTCCGTTTCAATTTGTTGACATGTCCTCGTTTTGTAAAGTAACTTTGCAGTGGGATGCCACCCCATTGGTCGGCTGTGGGCTTTTTCGTTCACAAAGACTTCCTAGTTTTACACTCAGATGTATATCCCTTCTTCTTTTCGAATGAAATCATATTGGTTTCCTGAAGTGGGTCAAACCACAACGAACGTTGTCGTGCATCTTGAAGAAGGTCAGTATTGCACAAGATGCAACTTAATGTCTACTTGAAAATATATAAATATATTACCACAGTAATTAGTAATTATTTACTTGTATTATCTATTTTTATATCCAGAGATGAAAGTGGACTTTCCTGAAAATTCCGGGAAAAAAAAATATATATATATATATATATATATATATAAATATGAAAATGCATGTTGCAACAACATGCACAGTTCAATCATGAGCATGGAGCTAATTGTTTGCACTTGGCACATCTCAAAAGAAAACAGTGGTCCCATGACTTAATTTAATTAATTGCGTGACCAACCTCGTACCCCCCCCCCAAAAAAGCTGGAAAATTTTTTTTTAGAATTTTATTCAAGGATAATGGTATTATAATGTAAACAAATGGTTTTCTAAAGTGTATTTAAGATGAAAATCACTTCCACATTTCAAATAATACAAACACATTAAAACACCACATGATATATTGAGAGACAGCAAACACAATGGTTAACACAACCATATTGTAGAGCAGGGGTGCCCAAACTTTTTGGACCGAAGATTGACTTTTCGATCAACCAACCTCCCGGGATCGCCTCTCATACACATAGTGTCTCTCACACACACACACACACACACACACACACACACACACACACACACACACACACACACACACACGCGCACGCATGCACGCCATGATGAGAAACAGCCTGACATGGAGGCATGCGATGCACTTCTGCTGCCTGTTAACTATTGTAGCTCACATCTACCGTTTTAAAGTGCTTCCCTGGGCCCCCTAGATTTCTATTCTTTGCCCGTGCCCTCGGTGAATTGTACACGAAGCAAACTCTGAATGAGAATGATGACGATAAAAGATATAGCGCAACAGCTCTGATCGCAAGCTGCAATTGCAGACTGCTGAGCGCAAACAACTTCCAGTGACGTAGGTCACGCGCCACCGTTGGTTGAAGATTTATTTACCTGCTTTATTTTATTTTTTAAATATTTTTTTGTGAAAATGAGACTGATAGGATCGTTAGGGTGCAGTGAACACAAAAAATATATTACTAATATATACAAAGACATACAAATGGTTGTTTTTTTTTTTTTCCTCTACACCCTTCGGATCTACTTGGGACCAGTCCTTGATCTACTGGTCGATCAGGATCGACGTAATGGGCACCCCTGTTGTAGAGTGTATCCTGTGTTTACAGTAAACAATCCTGTTTTTTTTTTGTTTCCCAAACTAACTTACTAATCATGATTACATTATAAAATAAATGTCACTTTCTGTCGGCGTAAAAAGCAGGATTAAATCGTCAACAAAAAACGGTTCAACTGAAATAGTTTTCGTTCGTCTTTCAATTTTACACCATGTTATACAGTTTTACACAAGCTCAAAAGTGTGCAGACAGTGGAATTACACCCAAAAGCCATGGGTGGACCAAAACACTGCACACACATAAAAATCTGCATAATAGCACGACTGTGAACCAGAAAGCCAAGATGGAGGTGTCCATTTGTTTATTTACGTGTGCCTTGAAGGGGCGTGCCCGAGAGTGACATCGGGAGCATGGAGTCAGTCTGATCGTCTGTCTTAGCATGCAGTCAGTTCGTTGTTGAGCGTCTGCTCAATGCTCCCTGTGAGGGTTTTCGTTTGCATTAATGTGTTTGACTCTTTTTTTCATTTTTGAAATTGTACTTGGCCGGCGGCGTATCTGAAGCTCGCAACACAAAGCAAAAAAAATAAATTATCCACAGAGCAACCGCTTGAAACCCCCAAAAGTTGGGGCAATCCAAATTGAAGATTCCACTGTGCACGTAATAGATAGACGGAGGGTCCAACATGAATCATCAAATTCAGCCGGAGTTGGATCTAATGAGTTGATCATCCTCTCATACCTCAAAGGTTGACTTTTCCTTCCACTTGAAAAGCGGACAAGGTTAGCATTTCCCCTTTTAGCCAGGGCATTTTATGTAGCCTTTTCTTCCATTGTGATTAATAATAGCAATAGGGAGCTTAACGATTCTTCTCCTGCTTTTATTTATTTGTTGTTCTTGGCCTGGAACTGGAATTTTGATCCGGTTCGCCTCTTTTCCATCTGCATTTTCTTTGGCTCATCGAATAGCGAAGAATAAAGGTTGTGATGATAAAGGGGGTAGACTACTGTAAACAAAGTAAAACAAAGTAAATGAACATACGAAAGGGGATGGGCTCTTGAGTTGGGGAAAGAGGCAACCCTCCATCTTCACAGAGGGTTCTGGGTCGGGTGGGTGGATGTGACTGCTGCTTGTGTGTGACTGTGGTACAGAAAAGCCTGTGTCTATTTTAGGGCTTTACTGTAAAGCCTTCACCCCTGCGTGATTGGGTGGGACACCCCCCGCCATCCGAGCCCCCCATATCTGCAGGCTACTAGCTGCAGCGGGGAGGAGCTGGAGGAGCTTTGCCCCTCCCCCGTGAGTACACGCCATAGACGCGAACTTCTACTTCTGCCCTCTTTTTGTCTTCTTGCTCTTCTTGCTCTTCTTTCTGTTCTTCTCTTCAACCGACCTGCGCCATCATCGGGCTCTTGTACCGAGGTGTTAGATGGGACTGAGTTCCTGTTTGCTCTGGTCTTAGCTCTTCTGCGAGTGGCCTCACTCAATTGTACTGCACTTCCTACTTCACAGTAAAGAAAATACACACAATGGCATCTTAAAATATTTTCACCTTCATGGTGGACTTCTACATTTAGCATACCGGGAAAGAAAGGCAGATGAAATGTAGGGGAAACAGAGTGTCTTTCACAGATAATAAAAGCCAACTACCTCCAACAATGGACCGTAACACTTTGCACAGCGGCGAATATGATCTTCGTAACCTTGCGTGTGTCCAAGACTACAAAAATAAGCTGGCTTTGAAAGAGCATAACTTTCCTAGCTTCAGCTATTCCCATCGCCACCAATCTTAAAAGATTCAAACCAGCAATATTTCGTGACTGGTGGTGAATAACGGGAGCGGTGCCATGAAGTGAAACTCCATCTGTGTTGCCAAAATGTTATGTCTAATAACGCATTGACAGTAAGAACTTGAATCATCGAGAGTTTCCAGGATACTGGAGGGTCTCGCTTTACGACACTGACATCAGCATACTTAGACGGCTGTACAGATGCTAAAGTGGAGTGTGGAAATCACTGAGCCACAGCAAGTCTATCCTCAAAAACAGTACAACAAAATTACAAGTCAAAATGGTGAATCAGAGAAACGCTTAATTTTTGGGGTGCCAGATGAAACTGTCTGGCTTGTTCAAGAGAAAAACATGGGCTCAGCTCCCACTACATTGTAATATGTCTTAACATCAGACTGGTCTGCGGCACAAAAAAAAAAAGTTTGTATTCAACTTAGGCTCAACTTACATGACATTATAGTCGACTTTCAAAAGTCTTTAGCCGATCAACGTCAGGCTGAATAACGGGAGTATCTCCTCCAAACCTTATCTCGGTTCCTTCCGTGTGCTGTATCATGTTTTTGTTGGCTGAACTCAACTGCGTCAAGTGTCTTGGCATGCATCTAACCAACTAAGTGCTAAATGTACCAGTGAGAGAAGACAAGGCATCACTAGGATGTGGTGTGAAGTTTTGGGGTACAAGAAGAGTAATAAGACTCAGAGACTTGGTCTGAATGAACTTTACAAGCTCTTTCACTCACGAGACATCCTCCTTAATACCAATCAATTGTCTGATCATAAGCTGCTTGGGAATAGCTGGCCAGGAGCTAACTGGAGGCTAACGGCAGCTAGAGCCGGCCTTCTACGCCACCAACACAAGTCTCTTCCCGTCTCTCTGAAGGCAATGCCGATGAAAGTTAATTACTGTATAAGGTTTTATAATTAAAGATGTAAGTAAATATGTGTACTGCTGTAGTCTTTGTCTCGAATATGTAAACTATAATCCCTTTTTACATATTTTAAACATGCTAGTGCCCACATACACTTACACAAAAATTCCTGGGGGGCGGGGGGGGCCCTCCTTTGCTGTTTTTCACTTCACTGTTGCGGCAGGGTCCCGGTCCCCATCAACCGCGATAAGTGAGGGATCACTGTAATCTGTGCACGTGTAGCAAAGTTACACAAAGCATTCCTCTCCGTGACTCCATTTGTAAGTCAATTAGGAATGCAGCAAATCCATGAAAAGGTCCGCTTTCGCACTGTCATCTTTGGTCGCGTAGAATAAATCAACTGTGTCGGGGGATATATTGTAGTCTTTCCAACTGACTCGAGGCCTGTCTGAACTTGATTGCTCTTTTTTAGGGTTCACAGCCATCACAGCCACCAACCCCATTTGGCTGATAAAAACCCGTATGCAGCTGGACTCCAGGTGAGAAAAAAGAAAAGCAGCAGTGGATATAGTCTTTGTGGGAATACGTTCATTTTCTTCTGGTTGTTACCGCAGGAACCGGGGCGAACGCCGCATGAACGCCTTTGACTGTGTTCGGCGGGTGTACCAGATGGACGGCTTGAGAGGTTTTTACAAGGGCATGTCGGCGTCGTACGCGGGCATCTCTGAGACGGTTATCCATTTTGTCATCTATGAAAGCATCAAACGGAAGCTGCTACAGTCGAGGACTCAGACTGGCATGGAGGCCGAGGAGGAGTATGTCAAAGACGCCTCAGACTTTGTTGGCATGATGCTCGCTGCAGCCACTTCCAAAACCTGCGCCACTACCATTGCATACCCCCACGGTAACCAAGGCATCTCCCTTTCTCACTCAATCGATTTATAAAAGGATTCATGGAACTGCATTCGTGCTAGACACAGAGAGATTTTATTCAACCACAAGAGGAATTCACTCTACCGGTAGTTAACAAAAAGAAAACAACCCAAAAATAGATAACAATAAAATAGAAATAAAAATAGAGACATATTAAACATAGTATCTATATAAGTTATTTATTTATTGTTATATTTTTTTTAATTAACACACATATAAAGTCAGAATTTCAGTGAGGTATGAATATTCATTATAAGGTGCTAGTTAGCCTTTAGGTTTTGGGGCCGATCACTGATCAGCAAGTTGAAATGAACCGATCACAAGAGGCCGCAATATGTTTATTTTAAACAACTTATTGACTTGTGCACTGTTTACTGAACATCGACAAAGGTATTCTGTTGGGCTCGAAAGATTAATCGTCGATGTCAGTTTTTTTTTTTTTTAATTGACCAAAATGTGGCAAAAACAGCATAAGATGAAGACATTCACCATTCTCTATGTTTTCTTTTTTCCTTGAAATGAAACAAGTAATTGATTTTGGGAATTTTATCCTGCCTGGTATTGGAATCGGCATTGGCCTATAAAAAAAAAAACATTCCCTATTTCGCTGAGGCAAATTAAGACTTGGTGTCAGGTGATTATGATATATATGTAGAAAGTCTTGTATTTAATACTGTTATGCAAGTGTTCGGGGTGAGAATCAATATCAAAGAGCAACCCCTTTAAAACAGGCTAATGTCCACCGGGGTTAAGCTGTTCTTAGAACGGCATTCAAGAACTAGCGCCGCCACAATAGGATGCCTGTTTCGGTCATTGTTTATTGCGATTTGTGGTTTAATGAAATGTTGAGATGATGTCTTTAGTTTCAGTCCTTAAGTACTAATCCAAGCGTCATTGCTCCACTTTCAAACTGCAGAGGTCATCCGCACAAGGCTACGAGAAGAGGGGAGCAAATACCGCTCCTTCTTCCAAACTCTGCTGACCGTGCCCAGAGAGGAGGGTTACCGGGCGCTGTACCGCGGCCTCACCACACACCTTGTCAGACAGATTCCCAACACGGCCATCATGATGTGTACCTATGAAGTGGTGGTCTACCTGTTTGGCCGTTAGCGGCCACGCCTGTGCTCCTTCCAACTGTGTACAGACTCGAAGACGAAGGCCTTTTGGCAAGGAGCAAATGACGACCAAAGGAAAACCCAAGAAGCTGAAGTGGACCGGCAGAGTATAAACAAGTCATATCTGAAACGTGAAAGGAGGGAAAACCCTTTGGTACCATTTCAACCTGTAGACTGCGAGTTCCCGTCTTTGGCTTGACTGAAGAGAGAGATTGCTGAATGTTGCCTTGGGTAAGAAAGAGAGATGCCCAAACAGAAGGAGCCTCTGAAAAAAAGTTAATGAGCACAATTCAGTGGCCTTAAGTGTTGTTTCTACAAGTGAGCGATGGGTAAATTGCTGCTTTTCATTCAGGTAGAGAACATTTCACAAGGGGGAATGCTTGAAGACGACTGCAGATGGCAGGAAGGATGGAAACAAAATGTGATTGGAATTGCCAAATTTCTCTATTCAAAGATGATGAAAGATTTTTTTTTTTTAAACTATCCTTTATTTTCTGACGCAATTTTCTGTTTTTGTCTTCAGGCCAAATAACAGTACAGTGGGCCCTGGGGATAAAGGCGATAATAAAAAAAAAATCCGATAATTATCGAGACTTTCAGCTCTTTTTAAATTGCCAGTTTTGAAACGTCTCTACGGAAAACTAACTTCACCATAGAGTAGTTAGATGTCTTATTACTATATGAACTACATTTCTAAAACAAAATGAAAGGAAAATGATGAGCATCGAAAACCAAAACATGTTTTTACGCAACTGAAGCCCAAACAAACGTAGAACAATTTAAAAAATAACACAGTGAACTACAAAAAATACATCTTAAAATGAAAATGTTTTTATTTCTTGATTTAAAATGTTTAAAGTTATAATCCTACATGGCGTTAACTTCATTGCAGCTGATCAAAAAAGATAAGATAAGATAAGAGATCCTTTATTTGTCCCACACTGGGGAAATTTACAAGGACAGGATCGATTGCTGCTTTGGTTCGGTGGCTGCATGGCTAGTTGATAGTGACGAAACTGCTCACGCTACGGAGGCGGGGTGTCTAAACTGCCCTCACGTTTAGCATCATTGTTGTCTTGCCCATTTTTTGAGGCCATACACAACAATGGTGAGGAACTCCTCTTGTCAAAATAATTTCATCTTCAGAGGAAAGCGCCAAGTCATGCCCTCGTGTTTATCCGCACATTCAGTCATTGTGTACATCTCACTTTCTGTTTACATCTTCAACTCGCAACAAAAGTAGAGCCAGAAAAGATCGACTGTGATTGGCTGCCGTCATGCGCATTTTTTGCCTCGTCAGATCAAGTAAATAGCTCGTGCCTGTTCACCGTGAAGTCAACATTCTTGATCATATAAGGGGTGTTCACACGGCACACATTTGCATCGGTGCTGCACAGACGTATTTTGTTGCGATCTATCTTACACCGGAGCAAATTTTGTGGAGCGTTCACACATAAAAAGCTGCTGACTAAAGAGAAGCGTGTTTCCCCCGGTGCAGCCCCGCTTGCATTCACACGGCAGTTTCTGCGGCCGTGCAATACGATAGTATTAATATGGAAATAAAACAAAGAGCTGTCGTGTTGGTTCTTTTTAAAACATACACTTTATTAGTTTGTTTAACTCAAGCAACTACAGACACGTCCTTCTCGGTCTCCGTGCCTTCTGCTCGAGAGGCGTTCAATGACCGCCCCCGAAAACGTAAATCAACGATGACTTCAGTGACCCTCAGAAAAGCAAACATAATGTGCCAAACAGAAAATCAAGAGAGGAAATCATAAAATAAATTCTATTGGGGGGGATGAACACACAACAGAGGAACAAACTACACAAACAACTCCGAGACAGTCCAGTCTCATACAAAAGGAAAGATGACAGAACAGATACAGACCACGAAAGCAACGCATTCTACCCGTATGTAACCAACTCTTCTCATGCGAAGCGAGTCTACCCCTGTAGTGTTCACACGTACCATTTTACATCGGTGCTGCTCCGCAAACGAGCATTTACTCCGGAGCAAATTTTTAAACCACCTCCTTGAGCAGGGTTAAATTTGCTCTGGTTTAAGCTGTTTTCAGGGGCTACACCGGTGTAACTTTGCACGTGTGAACACTCTACGGGGGCAGTCCCGGTGCTGCACCGGAGCAAAAGTTGCAGTGTGAACACCCCTATAATGTAGATCCCGCTTTGGAAGGTAATCAATGGGCTTTGCTACTGGTGCTTTGGGACCAATGCTGTAGGATATTAGAGTTTATAAAAACAGACGGTAATGAGTTTTCAGGGGCTACACCGGTGAAGTAAATGGTGATTGATACTTTTTTTTTTTGTTTCACTTCAATGGAGATTGCACTGTTACTTCTAGTGTGTGAGTTATAATGCATCCTATTGAGATATACGTGATGCCGGTCATAGCTCCTCCGTAAACTGCAGTAATATTAGTCATCGGTAACAGAAGATCAAGAAAATAGGCCTGCTATCTGCTCACGTTTAGAATTGATAGCATTAAGCTCAGCAGACTTCGTTCAAGGCAAAGCAATGTGATTTGTTTGCAATACACCAAGTGTAATTCTCTTTGTTTTATATTTAGTTTGACTTGATACTGGAACTTGGAGCGACATTATACCGCTCCCTATCTGCCAGATGGTTGCGAAGCGAGTTGAATTCAATGCCACCATTCAATGCAAACTAGTCAGCCAACCGATGGCTTGCATCTGAAAAGCTCATTAGGCGTGTCACTTGTTTCTCAAGGCACCACTGTCCTGCTTGAGGAGCTTCAAAAGGAGTCTTTTGCTAGCATCAGTTTAAGAGAGTCAGAGTTGAAGAATGTTTGTCCAAGGTTCAATGTCAGCGGGGGGTTTTCCTTTTGAAGGAGTATCTTGCTTTTATTAAATCGCTAATCTCTTGTCTTTACACTACATAACTTCAAGCATTCCCCTTGAAGCACAGGATCCCACGTAAATATAAATAGGACTTGAAATGGGCTGGCACTCAAACACCTTGTGAAGGGTAGGGAGAAAATCTGACCTTCCATCTGGATTTTTTTATTATTATTATTTTTTTTTGCCTGGTCGTGACAACACGATCTGAATTGACGGCCACATCCTTTATTAAATGTGATTTGCGCGATTGTCAAGAAGTACCCAAATCTGCCACCGGAAAATTAATATGCAGTGGCAGTGCGGCAGAATAGTTTTTCCCACCAGAACCCATATTTGTAGAGCTGTATTTGTGTGTCTACCATGTCGAAGAGTTGGAGTGTGGCATCTGCATGTGCAACAAACAACGACTAAAGATTTCCCGCTCCGGCACTAACTTTTAATTCCGCGAGACGTTGCGACTGGTGGTGTGGAAAAGCTCCTCCTGTGTAATATGCGCGAGTTTCATTCCCTCTCTTGCACCACTTCTTCCTTTCTTTGGCTTCCAGCCGAGCTGATAACATGCACTTTTGGGGCCTTTTGAAGGCTTGTGCTTTGCATTCTGTTGTGTGGACAGTTGAATTGTGTATACATTGTAAAAGAAGACAAAGTATATGAAAAATGTATTTTGCGCCACTGTTCTTAGAGCAAATATATTGTACAGGATTGTGTTCTCAGTCGTTTTGATTCATGCCGTGTGTGTGTGTGTGTGTGTGTGTGTGTGTGTGTGTGTGTGTGTGTGTGTGTGTGTGGTGTGTGTGTGTGTGTGTGTGTGCCTGTGTGTGTGCCCGTGTGTGTGCCCGTGTGTGTGTACATATAAAATACTGTATATGAATATCGTTTTTTTTCTTCATGTACGAGTTGTTGCAATTTTTTTGTGCAATTGACACCAATTGTTTTTTTTTTTTTTTTTTTTTTTTAATATAAACGCTAAGCATTAATACTTCATGCTGCAGGGCAATCACTTTTCAGTCACATTTTTGACCGTAAGGTTGGATTGTATTTTGTTTTCATTGCAGTAATGGGTGTTTCTCAGTCATGTTGGAATGTCGTCATCATATGTGCTGTTTACATCCTTGTTATCATGTTCAATTCCGAGCAATATACTTATTTGGAAGTGTTATTCAGTGTGAGTGTTTAAAAAAAAGTTGTTTCATCCTTTTAAATTAATTTAATAAGTTCCGGAAATGTGAAACCTGTTTCATCAAAAGGATTATCCTAAAAGTAACCTGATGATTTTTTCGCCCTCATAGGTAAAAACAAAGTAGACACGACAGCTTATCGTTAAGATGGCCTATCTACACTCTCCCCCAATGTTTTTCATGCCTTTGCCCCATTTCCTTTAAAAGAACAGAACAGAAATGCAAGAAACCAAACTTATTTATGCATGGTTTTTAACTCTATTGAACATTTATTACAGTATTGTTAGAGGCCATCAAAACCCTGCGCTGTTCCTTGGGATATTCTTTATTATTTCCTCTCTCTGGTGACATGTAGTTAACACTTAGTTGCACAATTAAAAAAAAAAAAAATAAGATTCTCGCCCATGTTTTCCTTAGCCACACTAATATCTTTTGTCTTTTGTTCCATCGTAGTCGAGTACTAAAGGTCAGTTACCAAAATGTGACATACACAATCTGGACTGGACAGGTGCTGATTTTTCCCTCATTTCCATGTTTTCAGTTAAATGATTTTTACCTGGAATGTGTGGACAGTGTGCGAAACTTGTTTGTTTTTATTTTGGGCGCCCCAATCATTTTTTTATTTGTTACTAAAACAGAAGAAAATAAAATTATTGTGAAAATAACACCTTTGTATTTTTTTATTGAACACGCAGTACTCACTGTAATAGTACACGCCCCCCCCCCTTTTTTCCCCCTCAGTAAACACTTGTTACAAGTTTTAAACTTCTATGGCCTTCATTTCTGTGTACTCGTTGTTAGAAAACTGCAGCAAAAGGGGGAGGGGGCTGAAGCATTGAATTCAATGGACCATATTTGGAGCCGCATAGAAATTTCGATTCTAAATGGAAATTTACATTTTATGTTGAACGCGAAAGGTCCGTGCAGTCGGTGTAGCTAATGATTATTGCCAGTAGGGTGAGCCAGATTTCTTAAACGTTTTCCACGCGCCGACGATTCCATTGAAGATTTACACGGTCTGTCTACATGTCTTCGGGGTCAGCTGCACATTATTTTCATGTGCATGAATTATTTGAATACATTTTTTGAGATTGTAGTCATTTAACTCTTCATGTATCGATGCTATGTTGTGACCGTGTTAAAAATGAACCTTGCACTTAACAACCCCCTGGTTTCTTATTCAATCAAGACAGAACTGAAGCAAAGCTAAACTGTTAGAGGAGTTAAGCGAAATTTATTTGCAGATAATCTTTAGAAAGTGTTTGTTTTTATGCAGTGAGTAAGGTACAATTCTTATGTAACTTGTGAAATAATTTTAATTGTATTATTAAAGTACGTTTTTTAAATATGATATTTCAGTGTTTATTATTCAAACTGCATCGCATTACAGTGGCTCACAATGATATAAAATACTTAAGTACTTAAGAATAAAATCTATCCTTGCAATCTTTATTCGCTAATAAATTAAATGAGTCCATTGTAAGAGGGAGCACATAACTCCTACTATGGCATTCCTTCACTG